TGATTTGGGGTTTTGTTTGTTTTTCTTTTTCCAGCTCCTTTAGATGTAAAGTTAGGTTGTTTATTTGAGATTTTTCTTGATTCTTGAGGTAGGTCTGTATTGTTATAAGCTTCCCTGTTAGAGCAGCTTTTGTTACATCCCCAAGTTTTTGGATCATTGTGTTTTCATTTTTATTTGTCTTCATGTATTTTTAAATTTTCTCTTTGATTTTTTGGTTGACCCATTCATTGTTTAGTAGCATGTTATTTTTTTTCAAAATTTTTAATGTTTTATTCTTGAGAGAAACAGAGCATGAGTGGGGGAAGGGCAGAGAGAAGGAGAGAGAGGGAGACACAGAATCCACAGCAAGCTCCAGGATCCAAGCTGTCAGCACACAGGACTCGAACTCATGAACCATAGGATCATGACCTGAGGCAGAGTCTGACTCTTAACCAACTGAGCCACCCAGGTGCCCCACTAGCATGTTATTTAACCTCCATGTATTTGTGTTCTTTCTGGATTTTTTCCTTGTGGTGGACTTTTAGTTTTATAGCATTATAGTTGGAAAAGATGCATGGCATTATTTCATTTTTTAAAAATTTGTTGAGATTGTTTTGTGACCTAATATGTGATCTATTCTGGAGAATGTTCCAAGTGCACTTGAAAACAATGTGTATTCTGCTGTTTTAAGATGGAATACTCTGAATATATGTTACATCCATCTGGTTGCATGTGTCATTTAAAGCCACTGTTTCCTTGTTGATATTCCATTTGGATTATCTATCTATTGATGTAAGTGGGGTGTTAAAGTCCCCTACTATTATTGTATTACTTTCAATTATTTCCTTTATGTTTGACATTAGTTGCTTTATGTGTTTGGGTACTTCCATGTTGGGTGCATAAATGTTTATAATTGTTATATCCTTTTTTTGAATTATTCCCTTCTTTGTCTCTTGGTATAGTCTTTGTTTTGAAGTCTATTTTATTCAATGTATATATTGCTACCCCAGCTTTCTTTTCACTTCCATTTGCATGCTTTTCCATCCCTTGTTTTCTTTTTTTTTTAATGTTTATTTATTTGTTGAGAGAGAGAGAGAGATCGTGTGCAAGCATGAGTGGGGGAAGGGCAGAGGGACAGAATCTCAAGCAGGCTCCATGCCACCAGTGCATAGCCTAACTTGGGGTTTGAACTCATGAACCATGAGATCATGACATGAGCAGAGACCAAGAGCCAGACGCCCAACCGACTGAGCCACCCAGGTGCCCCACATCCCCTTACTTTCAATCTGCATGTGTCTTCAGGTCTGAAATAAGTCTCTTGTAGGCAGCATATAGATGTGTCTTGTTTTTTTATCCATTCTGTCACACTGTGTCTTCATCTGGAGCATTTAGTCCCTTTACATTCAAAGCAATTCTTGGTAGGTATGTACTTATTGCCCTTTTGTTACTTATTTTACAGTTGTTCTTATAGTTTTTCTCTTTCTTCTCTTGCTCTCTTCTCACAGTTTGCTGGCTTTTTTTAGTGATACACTTAGATTACTTTCTCCTTATTTTGTGCATATTTTTTTTTTACTAGTTTTTGGTTGGTGGTTACCATTAGATTTAAATATAACATCTTATGCATATAGCACTCTGTTAAATTGATGGTCGCTTAAGTTTGAACCCATTCTTTACCCCTCCCCCACACCATGTTTTAGGTATATAGTGTCATACTTTACATCCTTTCATTCTGTGAATACCTTGACTGATTTTTATTGATACACTTTATTTTTCTGTTTTTGTACTTCCGACTTTTCTTATTCCTGCTTATGGTCTTTCCTTTCCACTCGAATAGTCCTCTTTAACATTTCATGTAGGGTTGGTTTAGTGGTCATGAATTCCTTTACCTTTTGTTTGTCTGAGAAACTCTTTATCTCTCCTTCTATTCTGAATAATAGTCTTGCTGGATAGAGTATTCTTCGTTGCAGGGTTTGTTTGTTTGTTTGTTTGTTTTTTTCCTTTCAGCACTTTGAATACATCATGCCACTCCCCTCTGACCTGCAAAGTTTCTGCTAAAAATTAGCTGATAGCTTTATGGGGCTCACTTTCTATGTAACTATTTCCTTTTGCTGCTTTTAGAATTCTCTTTATTACTAATTTTTGCTATTTTAATTATTACATGTCTTGGTGTGGGTCTCCTTGGGTTGATTTTGTTGGGGGATCTCTGTGCCTACCAGATCTGGATATCTGTTTCCTTCTCCAGATTTGGGAAGTTTTAAGCTATTATATCTTCACATAAATTTTCTGCCTTTTCTTTTCTCTTCTCTTTCTGGGATTCCTAAATTGCGAATGTTATTATGCTTGACAGTGTTAATGAGTTGCCTAACTCTATTTGCATTTTTCATTATTATTTTTTTCTCTCTACTGTTCATTTTGATTCCTTTGATTACTCACTCTCTCCACCAGGTCACTGGTCCATTCTTCTGCTTCCTCTAGTCTACTATTTATTCCATCTAGTGTATTTTTTCTCTTTTCTAAGAGACAGAGAGCATGTGTGTACACACAAGAGAGAGGAGAGGAGGGGAGGAGCAGAGAGAGAGAGAGAGAGAGAGAGAGAGAATGAGAATTTTAAGCAGGCTCCACACCGAGTGCAGAGCCTGATGTATGGCTTGAGTTCATGATGGTGAGATCATGATCTGAACTGAAATCAAGAGTCAGACTCTTAACCAACTGAGCCATCCAGGTGCCCCCCAATAGTGTATTCTTAATTTCAGTTATTGAGTTCTTCATCTCTGATTGGTTCTTTTTTATATTTTCTATCTCTTTGTTAAGGGTCTCATTGAGGTCCTCCATTCTTCTCAAGTCCAGTGAGTATCTTTATGATCATTACCTTAAGTTCTCTATCAGGCATATTAATTATCTCCATTTCGTTTAGCTCTCTTGTGATTCTGTTCTGTTCTTTCATTTGGAACATATTCCTCTCTCTCCTCATTTTGTCTAACTCTCCGTGTCTGTTTCTATGTGTTAGGAAAGTCAGCTATGTCTCCTGCTCTTGAAAGTAGTGGCCTTATGAATAGGAAGTCCTATAGTGCCCTGCAGTGCAAAGTCCCTCATTCACCCAAACCTGGCATTTTAGGGGTGTTTCATATGTGTGTTGTGTGCACCCTGCTATTGTGATTGAGCCACTTTTATCTTCAGTCCAGTCATCAGCAATGTCTTTCTTTGCCTGTTGTGGGCAGGGTTTGGTCCCTGTGTTGTTAGTGGGGCCAGTCGGGGGCCTTCTTGGGCTTGAGTTGAATCAGATTAGGTGTTTGCCAGAGATGGGGTGACACCAAACTGTGGGGCTCTTTCCCTGTGTTGTCCCCTGAGAAAGTTTCACTGGTGTGTGGGGCCTGCAGTCAGACCCAGCGTCTGCCCCCAGCCCACATCTGGGGCTACAGTTGGACTGGTATGTATGGGTATCTTCCCCTCTCCCTGGGGTAGGAGTCACTTTGCAGTGGTGCTTGTCCCTGTCAGGGCTGCTTCTACACTGCCACACTTGTGGAACCGCTTTGGATAGCTCCAGCGTGGGGGAAACTGGAGAGGGTAGGTCTGCAGCAGAATTCAGAGCACAGTATTGGTGTTAGCAAGGTTTATGCCTGTTTGCTATGGACAGGACCTGCTGCTGCCAGGACCAAGGAAGGCCAGATTAAAGGGGGCATATGCACAGAAATGTGCTGGGGTGGGGTCCTCGGTATTAGCCAGGTTTACCAAGGTCTGCCATGGGAGGGCATCTGGAGCCAAGGCCTGGGTGGAGGGGGCATGTCTGCAGAAAAACATAGGCCAGTGTGTGCTTTTAGCAAAGTGAGGTAGCAAGTGTTAGCACTGTCCTAGTTCCAGCAGGAACTAGTCCATGCATCCAGGCTTGGAAGGGTGGGGGTGGGGATGGTGCCTGCTAACTCCTTTGTTCCTGGAGAAGTCTCCCAAAGATCCCTGCCCCTCCAGCACATGCTCTGAGATTAGTAAAGAAATATCCCTCCCATATACCTAAGAAAATTTTCAAACTTCTGTTTCTATGCTGTATCTCCACAGGGCTATTTGTTGTACTATCTCTTTAGAGGCAGGGACTCAGTTTCCTATTGCCTTCCTGGCTCTCCCAAAGCAAAGCCTGCTGCTTTTTTAAGTTCAAAGTGTTAAGCCCTGCTGATTTTAAGAACTCACAAAATTCATATTTTTTTAGGGACGCCTGGATGGCTCAGTTGGCTAACTGTCCAGCTTTGGCTCAGGTCATGATCTCATGGCTTTTGAGTTTGAGCCCCAAATCGGGCTCTGTGCTGACAGCTCAGAGCCTGGAGTCTGCTTTGGATTCTGTTTCCATCTCTCTCTGTCCCACCTTCACTCATGCTCTGTCTCTCTCTCTCAAAAATAAATAAACATTAAACAATTTTTTTAAGAACTCATGAAATTCAGTGTCTCTGGTTTCCCAAGCCAGATGTGATGGGGATTCATCTTCCCATGCAGGTTCCCTGTGCCTAGGGTTCCTGGGGGGAAGGTATGTTTCTCTCCCCTCTCCACACCCTCAGTATCCCTTCCTCCCACAGATAGTCCCATGGGTCCATTTGGCTCCCAACTGCATCTCTGCCTTTCCTACCCTCTTCCATGTGGCCTTTTCTCTGCATTTAGCTATGAAGAGTCCTTCTGCTAGTCTTTGGGTTATTTCCCGGGTTGTTTACACTGATGTGGGTGTTAATCTAGTTGTATCCATGAGACAAGGTGAGTGTAGGGTCCTCCTACTCCACCATTTTCTCTGGAAATCAAAATACTACAATTCTTGGGGCGCCTGGGTGGCTCAGTCGGTTAGGCGTCCGACTTCGGCTCAGGTCATGATCTTACAGTTCGTGGGTTCGAGCCCCATGTTGGGCTCTGTGCTGACAGCTCAGAGCCTGGAGCCTGCTTCGGGTTCTGTGTCTCCCTCTCTCTCTGCCCCTCCCCCATTCTCACCTTGTCTCACTCTGTCTCTCAAAAATTAAATGTAATAAAGAAAATTTTTTTTAATACTACAGTTCTTGATGGCACTTGTGACTGGATTGGAAGGGTCAAGGTTACACGAAACAAGTCAGCAGTAATTACAAGGTAAGAGCTACCCAGGATAAACATGTCTGACATCCATTATGTAGTGTGGACAGCTGGTTTCTTGGTTTTCCATTCTGCTGGCAACATAGCATGCCAGAACACCCAAACAGCCCCCTCTCAAGCCATTTGGTTGCAATGCTAGGGGTGCTCCCTAAGTCGGTAAGCAATTCCCATCCTTTTGGCTGCAGTGATTGGCCCATGTCTGGCCAAGAAGAATAAGAACCAGGAGTTGTGTTTGGCTGTGGGAGGAAAGAAGCGCTTTCTCTCCTTCTGGATTTGAAGCAGAGAGGATGCAGAGAGGAGCTCCTGAGGTCATTTAGGCTCTGTGGAGTGTGGCCGGAAGAGGGAGCAGTGGAGTCTGGGACTGCCAGGAGCCACCAGGTGGAGCCTGAGCTTGATGCAGAGATAATACTGTGTGTGTCATGTCTAGCTACACCAGAAAATTTATTTCCCTGGACTTTTCAGTTACGGGAGCTATGTTGATGTACTTTCGTATTTCCAGTGTTTTGGATGTTCTGGCACTTGGGGCTTTGATCCTGGAGAGACTACCCCTTCTGGGACTAGCTAATTCACCCCCAAGGCTAGGTACAGACAACTAGAGATCATCCCTATAGTCCAGAGCCTACTGAAATTAATCAAACTATTCAGTCTTTAAAAAAAAAAAATATTTTAAGAAAGAGAGAGAGGGAAAGAGAGAGAATGAGCAGGGGTGGGGGAAGGCAGAGAAAGAGGGAGAGAATCTCAAGGAGGCTCTGTGCTGCCAGCATGGAGCCCAACGTGACACTCAAACTCACAAGCCAAGAGATCGTGACTTGAGCTGAAACCAAGAGCTGGATGCTTAAACGACTGAGCCACCCAGTCGCCCCTCAAACTATTCAATCTTAAGCTAACTCATTGTATCCACTCTTGCTTTACCCCTCTCTTCTCACAAAAACCCTAATAAAGGCTCTGGACCATGCTCTTCCTTCTCACACCTCTCTCCCTCATGACCAGCCCTAGGGCTTCCTCACCTGGCCCTGTGTGGCATACCATGTCTCCTGTTTTTAGGGGTCTATGAGTATAAACTTCTTCCTACGTGATGATCATTTCTATGACTGCATGTCTTACCATATCTGATTAAAACAAATCCTGGGCACATTTTTGAACAGGAGTTGAGAAATTACTTTCTTATTTTGTGAAAGGCAATTAGAATTAGATTTCTTGTTGTTGTTGTTACTTGTATCTGAAAAAATCCTAACTGATACATATCATTGTTGCACTATGGTGGCCTGCTACGGCACTTTGCTTGTCCGGCACACATCCATTTCCCCTTCCTTCGGTAACCACAATCTGACTTCTTCTTAGGGATTCTTCCTCTTCTTAGTCTATGTGTGGCAATAGGTACCTTCCCTCAATCTGTGGCCAAGACCAGCCAAGAATTGGAATTCCATTCCCCTGATTACAGTGATTGGTTCAGGGCAGGTCATTTGACCAAATTTACCTAACATGGAGAGAAACTTCTTTTCAACTAACTTTGAACCCAGAATGTTATAGGATGGAGAACTGCTGCCATCCCCCTTTCTTTTTAAGTTAATTTATTTTGAGAGAGAGATAGAGGAGAGAGTGTAGGGGAGTGGAAGAGAGAGGGAGAGACAGAATCCCAAGCAGACTCTTCACTGTCAGCACAGAGCCTAACTCTGGGCTCGAACTCACAAACCGCGAGATCATGACCTGAGCCAAAATCAAGAGTGAATACTTGACTGAGTCACCCAGGCGCCCCTGCTGACATCATCTTACCACCTCAAGGTAAAAGCCTGCCTGAAATAAAGCCAACACAATTCAAATGTAACCAAGAGATTAAGAGAAATTGAGTCCTGATGTCATTATTTGGGTCCCTGATCACACTCTGCCTGAAGTCTACTCCTACACCTTTCAGTTACAAGGCAACTATAGATCTTCCTGGACATCCCAATAAACCCATCGTAAGTTGAAAATAGATTGAATATGCCTAATCAACTGAACATGGTAGCTTAGCATAGGCTACCTTAAACATGCTGAGAACACCTACATTCGCCTACAGCTGGACAAAATCGTCTAACCCAAAGCCTATTTTATACTAGAGTGTTGAATATCTTATGTAATTTATTTGATACTGTCCTGAAAGTGAAAAACAAAATCACGGTATGGGTACAGAGTGGGTGTAAGTGCTATGGGTCATTTTCTCTCGGGGTCGCATGGCTAAGACCTGCACTCACCGCAGCTGCCCTGCGTTACCAGAGTGCCTTACATGCGTTGCTAGTCTGGGAAAAGGTCAAAACTCTAAATTCCGAGTACAGTTCTGCTAAATGCATGTTGCTTTCGCACCATGGTCAAGTAGAAAAATCCTAAATCCGGACCATTGTAAGCTGGGTAGTCTACCATTCTGTAATTTGAATAGAACTGTTTACTTTTCTGACTTGTAAGCGCTGGAGAAATTTTGATGTGGGTTCCTGGCCTAATTAAGACGAACAAAAGATGCTAACAGAGGGCAGAGGCAAACATCACACAAAGACAGCTCGTTATGAATGTTTCACAGCTAACCTTTCTAGGGAAACCATAACCCAAACCGTTGCTAACACCTTGAGGCAGCACTTACCTAAGGAAAACAAAGTTCTTTGTTCCCAGTGTTTTTCTTTTTCATCTCTTTCCCGTTTTCCTTATTCTATAAATCTCATCTGTCGGCGTTTCACTCTTACATACAAATAAAATAGCACGCTAATAATTAATTCATCGAATTGGTTTTTTATTTTTCTCTGACAATCTTATTCTCCCCAAGCTAATTTATTAATGTTCTAGGCTACAAACAGTCTTGCTTTGGTGCCTGCTTTTTGTCACATTATAAGGCAATTATCTCAATGCAAATTGTATGCTGCTTTGTGCTATCTCGTATCACCTTCTTTGCTCCAGGTCATGGCAGACACCATCATGATCATGTATATACTCAGTTATGGAAAATATTAATTCTTTTACATTAGTTAAAATTTTGCAGCACGGTGTTAGTTTTAGTACATAGGACGAGACTGCACCTCCCCCCACACAAAAAATGTGACACAGAATAAATGCTTTATTAGAAATCTTAATAGAATGACATGTAAGCACAGAGGAGAGATTATCAAATGCGGCCTGGCTATAACTATTCAACGAACTATTATGTCATCATTACATATGATGCTTAAGAAAATTCACGATAATATTAAAAATTGGGGCGCCTGGGTGGCGCAGTCGGTTAAGCGTCCGACTTCAGCCGGTCACGATCTCGCGGTCCGTGAGTTCGAGCCCCGCATCAGGCTCTGGGCTGATGGCTCGGAGCCTGGAGCCTGTTTCCGATTCTGTGTCTCCCTCTCTCTCTGCCCTTCAACCGTTCATGCTCTGTCTCTCTCTGTCCCAAAAATAAATAAAAAACGTTGAAAAAAAAATAAAAATAAAATGCTTACATAGGTAAAGGGGAAAAGGACACAAAATTATATCAAGATTTTTATCTTCACTATGAAAGTTTAATCAAAAGATGCATAGAAAAGTAGTAGAAGAAAATGCATCTAAATTTTAACAGTGTCTCCGAGTAGTGGGTTATGGGCTGTATTTTTTCTCTTACCTTTTTTTTTTTTTTTTAACTTTATTTATTTTGGGAAAGAGAAAGCTTGCAAGCAGGGGAGGGGCAGAGGGAGGGGGAGAGAGAGAATCCTCACTGTCAGCACAGAGCTGGATGTGGGGCTCAAACCCACGGCTGAAATCAGGAGTTGGACAGTTAACCTACAGAGCCACCCAGGTGCCCCTCTCTTATTTTCAAAGCTTTATCCTCACCTGCCATGTTTTCTAATACTTTATAATTAAAAACACTTTAAAATTTATTATAAACTTTGGCAAAATAGTAAAAAACAGTAATGAACTCTCATGTGTTTATCTTCTGGATTCAGTGATTGTCAAGTGATTGTCAAGTGATTTTGCCCATTTGCTGTATCTACCTCCCCCCTCACCCACCCCACCCCCCGAGTATTTACAGAAAATTCCAGACATCATATAATTCCACCTGCAAATACTTTGGTAAGAATCTTTCTTTTGGGGGGCACCTGGGTGGCTCAGTCGGTTATTCTTCTGATTCTTGGTTTCAGCTCAGATCTCACAGTTGGTGAGTTTGAGCCCCACCTCAGGCTCCGCACTGACAGCTCAGAGCCTACTTGGGATTCTTTCTCTCTCCCTCTCTCTCTCTGCCCCTCCCCCACTTGCTTGCACTCTCTCTCAAAAAAAAAATCTTTAAAAAAAATGTTTATTTATTTATTTATTTGGGAGAGAGTGCACATGCAGGGGAGGGGCAGAGAAAGTAACGAAGGGGCAAAGAGAGAGGAAGAGAGAGAGAGAATCACAAGCAGGCTCTGTGCTGTGAGCTCGGAGCCCAATGGAGGTCTCGATCTCAGGAATTGTGAGATCACAACCTGAGCCGAAATCAAGAGTTGGGTGCTTAACCCACTGAGCCACCCAAATACCCCCAATCTCTTTTTTAAAGTGGACATCTTTTCACATAACCACAATTCTTTTAAAGCACTTATCAAAATTAACAATAATCCCTTAGTGTCCTTTTACATCATCTAGTAACAGAAAATCCTAATTCCTTGCTCATCTCAATAATGTCTTTTTAAATAATATTTATTTATTTTTGGGAGAGCACAAGCAGAGGGAAGGGCAGAGAGGGGGACAGAGGATCTGAAATGGGCTCTGCTGACAGGCTAACAGCAGTGAGTCCGATGTGGTGTTCAAACCCATGAACCGTGAGATCATGACCTGAGCCATAGTTGGATGCTCAACCAACTGAGCCACCCAGGTGCCCCTGAAAAGTGACTTTTTTAAAAGCTTGTTCAGGAGCTCCTGGGTGGCTCAGTTGGTTAAGTGTCGGACTTCAGCTCAGGTCATGATCTCATGGCTTGTGAGTTCAAGGTCCCGAGTGGGGCTCTGTGCTGACAGCTGAGAGCCTGGAGCCTGCTTCGGAT